GGTTTTATTCATAAAATATGCATTAATGTGATCAAGCTCTGTAATTTTGTGAGCTATTCCCATTTGGGGCTTTTGTGATGGAATTGAAATTCTTTTCCTTCTCAAATTATCTCTCCACAGATGTTTTATAAAAAAAAGTCAGATGTAGTTTTTGAGAATGATGTGGTTGGTTTAAAAAATTAGGCTTCTGCTTTTAGTTTAGCTGGGGATAATATAGTTTTGTAGTTAATACTATTGCAAAGCATCTCCTAATTTCTGGACATGTGGCTTGCATTAAAATGTCAAGAAAATGCTTTAAAAACAGTAACCAGGGGTCTTAGGGCTGGACTTGTCATGTTAATGAGAAGAAGTTGGCAGAAGGTACCATAATATTAGGTTTATCAATGTTATATCACTATAGCCTATAAAACTCACTGATAGAAAACTAAGGTTTTGTCCAACTATAGCTCTATAGCTACACTGTTTTGCTAAACACAAGACTAATTTGGTAGAAAATTTCTTGCTAACCAGCTTGACTAAAATGGTAGCCAGGTTAGACAAAACAGTAACTTTAAGCAGTATTTGGATAAAGTTACAATTTAAATCAGTTTTCAGTTTCATGTTTTATTCAAAATTCAGATACTTTTCCCCTACCTTGACCCAGCGAACCAGAGTTTCTTGGAGGAGTGTCTCAGAACTTATACTCTTAATAAGGTTTGAGAACTTATGGTTGAGACCATGGAATAATATTTGGGCACAAAGTGGCATTGTGTAAGAAAGCAGAGGAAAGCTTTGGATTAATATTAGAAGCCCAGGGTTCTGCCTCTTACTGGTGGCTTGATCTTTATGATCATTGAGCCTCCCTAAGCATGCAGGTTTTCATGTTTACCCATCAGGTTTGTTGTAGGAAGCCAAGGTGATAGTGCACTTTTTAATCTGTATGCTGCGATACTAATGTAAGATAGCATTATTATGATGGTTATGGTTAGTACAAACTCTTTAAATAATAATCCAACTGGTCTAAGAGTGTTGTTTCTTTTCCCATATAATGTTAAACATTAAAGGACATAGTCTAGGTATCACAACAGAAATGCATTATGGAATGCAGTCAGGGTGGGAAGCCAACCAGTGAAGGTGGGTTGCAGGGCCAGCGTCTCAGGTCTGAGCTGATCGGAATTGATCTGAGCAAATGGGGGATGAGCTCTGAAGCAAGGTTGAGTCTAGCAAAAACTGTCGACTGGTACCTGTACAGAGAAATTAAATTGCACGGATAGCAGATGCAAAATGAATGTCTTTGCCTAAGTCTATCTAATAAAAATCTAGAAGCCATAAAGACAACGAGCTGAACATAAATCAGGCATGGAGTTTTACAGCTGGAGAAGGAGCCTGAGCCCTGGAATTCACAAAAGGACATGAGGACATTTTTTATTTTACTTTTTTATACTTAGTCAGGGCAAGACCTCTTTAGGGCACTGAATCCAGTTTGTGGCCAGCTTATCAACAGCACTTGTTAGAAATAAAATTAGAAGACAAGCACAGATGTAACAATTTTTTGTTTTGAAAGTAGAAATTTTGATCAGAGGACTAGCGAAAAGAAAAAGAAGAACCCCTCCCGTGAATATTTTCCAGTTACTGAAGGGTTAGCCTGGAATAACGTCAGAGTGTTATGCAAGCATTGGGGTTGTCCATCAGTTGCTTAAGAAAGGGGTCATTCTCAGCCCCTTCCATATCTCCTGAAATATCATGAGCCCTCTCATCATTCATTCATTCAACAGATGTTTTTGGAGTAGTTTTTGAATGTGTCAGACACTGTTTTAGGTAGATGCTGGAGGAAGAAAAAGAGCAAGGCAGATGTGGTTCATGGCTTCAAGAAGCTATGTCTGTCCAGGGCAGCATGTGCCTACTGTAAGTAGGTACTCCTTTGCAATGTAACTGCAGCTACTACCATCAGGAGGTAAGGTCTGTTTTGCCACACCTTGAACCTAGAACCTGGAGCTACCATGAGGACAGCAGGGCTAATACGCCACCCCCTAGGCTGAGCCTGGCTAAAACTGGAGGAACATTCTAGGCCAGCCCAGCTCAAACTACTGATCTACGGAAATGCAAACTACATAAATGGTTGCTCTTAGCAGCTATGTTTTGGAATGATTTGTTAGGTAGCAAAAGCTGACCGAGTCACCCTTAACTATGTAAAAATGATGCAAAGTTTATTTGGGGCACAGAATTTTCTCACATGGCTTATGAAATTACCTTGATAACTGCCAACTCTTCATTTTGCGCTGTAGGGACATGGTCTCAGTGTACAGTTGTCAGAATACAGACACCCTGGGAAGGTTTGATATTGGATCTCTGATCTGCAGAATATGAAGTTGACTAATGTGCTTGAAACGTGACATATAGCGTATAATCTATTTCTTGGAGAAAATACAAATATGTAGGCGAGACATAAACATCTACAACAGTACCAAGTCCAATCAAGCAGTCAAAAAGTTCATGCAAATCCAATTAGCTTTGCTTTGCAACATAATGGATCATGGTGTTAAAACAAAAACACAAATGAACAAAAAACCCAAAAACCTATCTGTCAGTTTCTGAATTTGTCTGACTAACCAACTACATCCTATATACATGGCCATAAAGTGTCTGATTTTTTCCTTCAAATAATTTCATTATTTTGATATATTATTGAAACTCTCACCAAAGGCTTATGTATTGTTCCAGAAGTCCCTGTGTAACCGTTGCGATTCTAATGATGACACATCAGTGGAGATGAGTGAAAGAGATCTTTGCTTTATCTTAATTTTCAAGTATGTCAGAGTGTCTTTTCCTCTTTTCCTGGCAGCCACTCTTCTGTCCAGCCCTCTCAGCTGGGCATTTTGGGAAGGCAGCCAATTCCAGGGCTAATGTGTTTCTGCTGTTATCTGACACTGATCCTGCTTCATAGAGGCAACAATGAAGATAAGCCCTAATTGGATGTATTTTTAAAGCAAACCTTTTAGTTACTTAGAACAGAGCTTCCTCAATTAGCTTCCTTTCCCTGCTCTCTGGCTGTGCAGGAACCACACTAAATGGGAAAATGCTGGATCTGCACGGGAGTCAAGAACAGGGTTGGGACAACGGAAGGATGATCATACTGAACTCAGGAGAAGCGCTCCATCAGACAGGCCAGGAGCCGTGCCTCCAGGAGAGCTGGTGAGGGAAGGGCACTGAGAAATTCCCATGTGATGAGAGGCCCCGCAATGGTCTAGGGTAAGGCTACTCACAGCCACACCCCAGCATGTCTGCAAGAGAGGGAAGGTAGGGCAGGCCCTGACAGAGGGAGAATCAATACTTCATAGTGGGCTCCGTCCCTGTGCTCCAGGGGAAGTACTTTGTTCCAAGGCAAAATGTGTTAACCTTGGTTTAGGATTGAGAGTTTCAAATTGCATTCTGTGATGTATTATCCTCAGGTCAGAGAAAATCTCTTTGAATCCTTACCCTCTCTAAGTTACTCACAGGGTTTTGATAGCTGCTGAGAGCGAGAGCTGCTTAGTAGAAGAAGCAGGTTTAGAGGTCTCGATGTGGAAAAAATAGAAAAGAAGCAGAGTAGATTTCTTTCTGTCTTTGACTCAGTCGAAATGGAGCTAGAAGTGGCACCAAGTAAATGAATAATTTCCCTTTGGTTGGCAGTGAGTCGACCATCATTACCTTAGACTGCCTAGAGGGTCCCAAGTTCTGGTGTTCCTTTTAACAATATTTAGTATCAGAGGTGTGAGGATTAGTGTCGCCTATGGCAGACCATGTGGACCTCCTTAAGCTAGACCTGTGGTCAGTAGGAAAGGGTGAGCCTGGGCAGGGTTGAGCTGAGGGCCTGTAGTGGGTGTGGGGGAGACAGAGTGGGACCTGGAGAAAAGTAAATGAAGAGGAAGCAGCTGCTCTGTACTGCAAGGCTCTTCTCGTCTGCCTCCTCAATTAGACTTCCTAGTCATTTTTATAAAGGCATCTGTTCTCACGTCCTGGCCTCTGACCAGGTTCTGACTCAAGGATTTACTTCACTGGAAGTTGAATTTCAGTTCTGTGTTCTAAAATTATGGAGGCAGTGATTTTTGGATGCTGACATTATTATTTGAAACTTTACTTATTTACATTAATATTAAGAGTTAAGTGGTATGTTTGATTTACTTTCTAGTCAGATTCCACAGTTTGCACATCAGTGGCTTATCAAGGTCATATTAACTTAGAGACACTTTTTTCTCTTTTCTGATTCTCATGTGATTATAATACTGTATATAAATCTTGACTTCTCCCTGCAGGCTGCCCTCTGTACTCTGTGCAAGGGAATATATCTTCCAAAAAATAGTCACTCCTCGCCATATTAACTCTGACTGGTATAACGACTGTTAAAAAAGTAAGTTAGTTCCAATAATTAAGCGATATGTTTGAGGTTTACACTAGAGTTCAGGTGTAAAAATTGACAAACCGATGACTGAACAAGTTAGAGCTGGAAATTTTTTTTTCTATCTTTTCTCCTTTGCTGTGACATTGATTTGCTGGGAACATCTGGCACCCATCACCACAGTGAGTGAAGTGATGACCCTTTCTGTTTAACTACAGGGCCAGAACAGGACTGACTTTTAAGAAGTGACAGGGATATTGGAATGATATGCATGAAACATAAACATTGGGGAAAATGAGGACAAGTCTAGAACATCATCACGTCCACAACGTGCTATCATCATTAATTTTGTATAGAAGCAACAGCTGTGAAGATACTGATTTTTAGTAGCTTTATGGATTTCTAGTTGGTGTACCTCTATATCTAAATAAATATACACAGATACACAGAGCTGTTTAAATAATGTCAAGTACCTCTCTGTCACAGTGACCATAATTTGCTCTCCTCCCTCAGTCTTCATAAGGGGGGAACCTCCATCCCTTAGTTACTAATTCACTTCTAATGGTTTAAAAGTTTGGATTGGAACAAAAATCTATAATTTTTACGGCATCCCCCGTAGGTGTACCCAGTTCTAGAAGCTGCATACCTGATGGTTAGTCCTATCCACTGTATTGGCCGTGGAGGGGTGGTCTCGGGTGTTCTGACGGATTCGAGTGGAGTTCTGTTGCTCAATGGTAGAGGAAGTTGGGATACAGAACTCTCTGAAGCATCGTTTGAAGTTTTCATCCAGAAATGCGTAAAGGACTGGGTTCAGGCAGCTGTTAGTGTAACCTAGAGCAATGCAGAAGTGCCAGGAAACAGTCTGGAATGTAGTTTCTGGGATTGTAATCAAGGCTTTAATGATGACATAAATGTGAATGGGAGTCCAGCAGACAATGAACACAGCCACAACCACCAGCACCATCCTGGTGATTCTTCGCAGATTCCTGTCCTTTTCTTTGGAGCCAGAGAGCATACGGACACTCTTGAGGCGTAAGATCATCAGTCCATAGCACACGGTGATGATGAGGACGGGCATGATGAAGGCAAAGATGAAAACACAGATTTTCAGCAGGTTTTCCCAGTACCAGGTTGGGTGAGAGAATGTGAGTGTACAATCTATGGAACCTGGAAAACAATAATTATAAGGCAGAATGAGCAGCAACAACTAATTACAGCTTTGACCAGAGCTAACTTAAAGCCGTTAAAGAAAGCCAATAAGGGAAGGTTTAAAGAAATTGAGGGAGAAAGCTCTCTGTTGATTTTCAGGGAGTTATTTTTAGATTTTTTTTTCTAAATATCTCATGTTTCATCTATTTTGATCACATTAAGGTTTCATTTAATGAACAATTATGGAACCTTTCACTTGAGCTAGATCCCCTATGAGGTCCATGTTGACATAAAAAATACAATCATTGTCCAAAGTCTATAGGAAGTTCCAGGTAATGGAAAAATTCTTTCCACTTTTTGATAGGTGGTTCATGATTTTGATATGAGGACTAGAAAAATAAATTTGTCATGTTGACAGCCATTTGAAATTTTAAAACACCTTAATGTTCTTTTGGGTTTAAGTCTAATTAATCTTGTAAGAGATATATTCTTATTTTCCCATCATTTTGATGAAGTCAATACAGAGAAATCAGGGAACAATAGATTATATTTTCTTTAAAATGTTTAGCATCTTAAATTTAGGAGAGAACTCCTATTACAAAACATTCAAAGTCATTTTGCTAGAAAAAAAATCACTGAAATTACAATTTGACTAAGAAGTTGGACCACTCATGACTTTACCAGCACGTCAGTCTATAAATCCCTCACCCCTCAGGCCTGCAACTTACCATGCCTGTACTTTGTTGTTGCCATGAACATTACAGGCAAGCCAATGGCTGAAGAGATGATCCAGTTGCAGACATTGACAATTTTGGCATTGCGGGGAGTGCGGAAATCCAGGGCCTTGACAGGATGGCAGACTGCGATGTAGCGATCAACACTCATGGTACAGAGGGTAAAGATGCTGGTGAACATATTATAGTAATCTATGGAGATCACAATCTTGCAGAGGATGGTTCCAAATGGCCATGTGCCCATTAGGTAATTGACGCTCTGGAAGGGCAGGGTACTGGTTGCTAAGGCATCCGCTAGGGCAAGGTTGAAAATGTAGATATTGGTGGCAGTCTTCATTTTGGTGTATCTAGGGGGTGAAGGAGGAGCAGTGGCAAAGTTAGAAAGAGACCAGTGTGAAATATAGATAAGCTTCCAATAATAAAAAAATATTGCAATGGTTAGTGGAAAGTACTTGAGATGAGATATGGGAGAACTCGTTTCTGATACTAGATTGGCTATTCCTAATCAAGTGTCTATGAGCTAAATAAAGTTTCTCTACCTATCAATTTTATAAACTGTAAAATGGTCATAATAACAGCTAACAAATGATTTATTGAATTTTTTTAATGTGCCAGGCACTGCGATAGATGTAATAGACACAGGGAGTGCTCAGTCATATATCCAAGTCTACTGATATTCATGAAATGAATATAAAATGAATGATAATTCATTTTAACTCTAAATATGTAAAAGAAAAATTTCAGATATATATAGCTAAAAGTATGGAAAAATGTAATCATGCAAAAATGTGTATGTATATATATCAATGTAATAGTACAAGTGTGTTTCTATGTGTGTATAAATATATATTGGTGTATGCACACACCCACACACACCGAGACTATTTTGGTGGCACAAAGAAGAAATGAAGGGGAAAGGTAAGGGAAGAAGGAAGGCATCCTGGAATTATAAATGTGCAAGTTTAATCTTACATTAGTAAGAGTAGGTTATTCTGGATAGAACACCTAAATAAAGGCATAGAGTTGAAATGGCAAGATGTGTGTATTTTAGTAGTGCCAAAAAGTAAAATCCCACCAGAGAAGGACAGTAACTCTGGCTGGGTAGGAATACAGAGGCCAGTTCATGGAGCGATTTGTATGCCATGGTAAGAAGGCTGAACTTTATCCAATCCATGATGAGGATGTTTGTTTTGTTTTTATTTTTTAATAGCTTTATTGAGGCATAATTGACATACAATAAATGGCCTATAATTAAAGTGTATGATTTGATAAGTTTTGACATATGTACACACTTGTGAAACAATTATCTTAATCAAGATCAGGAATTGGCAAACTACAGCCTGCAGACTCGGTTGGGCTACTGCCTATTTGGAAAGAACACACTCACATTCATTTAATTACTTCTTATCTGTAGCTGTTTTGATGATGCAGTGGCAGAGTTGAGTAGTTGTGACAGAGACCATATGGCCTGCAATGCCTAAAATATTTACTATCTTGCCCTTTACAACAAAAAATCCCAACTCTTGATCAAGATAGTGAACATATCTATCACCCTCAGAAGTTTCCCTGGGAAGCTCCTTGATCTTTCCATTTTCCCTTCCCTGCCTTGAACTCCACCCTTTGCAATCACTGATCTTGATCTGTTTTCTATCATTATAGGATGGTTTTCATTTTCTAGAATTTTATGCAAATAGAATCATTCTATATGTACTCTTTTTTGTCTAGCTTCTTTTGCTCTGCATAATATTTTGAGATTCATCCACATCTTGTTGCATGTATCAATAATACATTCTTTTTATTACTAAGTATGGATATTATTATTATTACTGAGTATGGATATGGATATCATTGTGTGGCTATGACAGACTTGTTTATCCATTTACTTATTGATGGGAATTGAGTTGCAGGTTGTTTTTGGATACTGAGTTAGCTGTTCTGAACATTAATGAAGTCTTTGCATGGAAATATGTTTTTCTTTCCCCTGTGTAAGTATCTAGGAGTGTTATATGTCTTCAAAGCCACAAAAATTAGAACTTAGAAGGGATGAACAGGTATATTGACAATACTACTAAATTATATATGATGGTAGAGGAATATCTTGCTAATATATTGTTCAATTGTCAGATGTATTTGACATTCTGTATCTATTTACCTTAATGTTAGGAACCATACTCAGTTTCACTCTGGGAAATGACCTTTTCCACCTTTAGTCTGTAGGCTTTGCAGCCTCCAAGATCAAGTGTAGGCTTTGTAGTGGGCTCTGTTACTAGTTCAGTGCATCAAGATGTAAAGTGTTTGGGGCCATGGTGAATGTTCAGGACTGGTCTCATGTTTCCACCAGAGCCCTCTGAGTATAGTATTTTTAGATAATTAAACCTGAGAGAATGTAGGGTTGTTGGAAGGGGCTGTGTGAAAGTGGATCCAATACGGAGGATGTGGATTTGAGAGAGCAAGAGAGGAGTATCTGCCTGATGCCAGGAACTTCTTGTTTACATGGGGCAATCAATTGTCTCAACTTAGCCTGTGTTTTTCGGTCCCATGAAATTAAAAAGCTAACTCATCTAGCCCAAGATGGCTGCTGGTTGGAGGAGATAGTATTATGGACTCATTTTCTTAGGGCCTTAATTCAGTGTTGAGGGAAGTTGGTTTGATTTCAGTAAGCACCAGGAAGCTGCAGTTATAATGAAGGATTTTATGAACCCTCTCAAGGTCAAGAGGTTCAAATTGTTTATTCGAGCTTTAAAATTCTGAGACACCAACTTGACTGTCAAACTTGAGGAAGTTGCAGGAATGCCTGCAAGTCTGATCTGGGGCCTTTTGAATCGGTTTAGAAGTTTTATTCCTTTAAAAGATTTAAAAAGACCTAGAGAAAGCCATTTAATCTGAGGAGGTAAACCAACCCTGACGTTAGTGAGGACTCTAAATGTGGCAAACAGAAAAAGGGTAATTCAGACAAGATCCTCCAAAGTTCAACAACAAGCAAATAAAAACAAAATTCAAACTATGACTTTAAGGATTTTAGAATAACCGACCTGGATGCTGAAGAAGTTTTAAAAAATTTGATATTTATAAAAATAAATTTCCTCCACAAAAAAGGGGGGGAAAAAAGAACCTTATTAGCTACACCACTGATAACAGACCTGCAGGATACAAAAGCAGGCTTGACTGTCTTAGTCACTTCCCACTCAGCTGACCTTACACTTTACATCTTATCTTTAAGAGTGTATTATGTTAAATAATCAGGTTCTTTACTGTCAGTTTTATGACTCAGAATGCCTCTAACCTTTTCTTCAGGCTCATCTTAACACTAGGTATTTATTGATGTATGTTTATTTCAGTTAAAAAAAATTTCCTCCCCCAGAGCGAGATGTTTATGAAACAAAATTAGGTTAGGGTCCTCTATCACGAGAGTGAAAGTGAGTATCTACAAAAGCTGTTTCAATTGGCATTTTACAGGAACAAAGCCGTTTGAATTTTCTCAATTTATCCAAAGAGCTTTTCTCTAAAGATAGCCAGTGTTCTTACCCCAATTACTCACACTTTGAGTCACAGCAACATATAAAAGAGGGTTTAGTAATTTCCTAAATATATGTAAGAGCATTATACAAGACCAAAGGTTTAAGAATTCCAATTGCCTCCAACATATCTCTGAAGGCTTGAATCTAACAGGACAGTCTGATCAGAAAAGGGGTCATGCCGTCTAGCAAACATGAGCTTTTCATTCTGTTTCATTTCGTTCCAATGCAGTGATATGAATTTTGCCTCAGAAAAGTTACATGAACAGTTGGTCACACTGTAAGTTACATCAACAGTCGGTCACACTGATGTATACAAACCAGTGTTAACAACCATGACAAAGAGGTTTACCCAAGTGGACCTGAGAACATCTCGTTCTGGGGGAAGGAAATTTTTTTAACTGAAATAAACATACATCAATAAAGCTTCTGGATATTAACACACGAGCCTCTTGTCATCCTTTGCACCTCTTCCTTCTTCCTGTGCCATGAATGAGTTTGGTGACAAAGTTGGCAAAGTGAAATGGGAGGAATACATGGCATGTCCTTGGAGTGTCTCTCCTGAACTCACAAGGCCTTTCTGATCTTGGCCGGTTTTAGTGTGCCCTCTGAATTAGGGATTTTCCTCGAGGCAGAGGCTTAATCTATTTTTTTTTCTTTCTATTATTTTCTTTTCTTTCTATTATTTTCTTTCTATTATTCCCATTGAAATTTTCCTAGTATGTATTTTTTAAAAACCTGTTCCAAGTGATTGAGTAGCTAATTTTCTATATAAATCCAAATATATTGCCATGTAATTATTATTTTTGAAAAATTGTATTCTCCAGACCCACAGTGTTGGACCCATTTTATGGAGCTTCCAGATGCTGTGTTGGGGGAAGCATTATGAATCCCATTTCATTGGCAGCTCAAATATTTTCCCAAGTTTCATGTGCACTTTTTGTTTGTAAATACCCTTCCTTTCTTTGTGGTCATAAAAGAACTTCTGTTTATTTTCAGACCTGTTCTTGGTGTCATTTTCACAATTATTACTACTTGAAAATACATCTTTACGTCTTTACCAACATATGTTAAATGAAGCCACACTGAATAAATTACTTGTGTAAACCCAATGCGCTTTGCAAACCTTTTGTTATGGTTTTATTTTGAGTTAATTTTTGAATTGTGATGGCCTTGTCTCTGGCCAGAAAAAAAAAATAATGAAGAAAGCTTGAAAAGAAGAACATATTCTAGAGTCAAGCTTGTCAGTTTTATACCATGTCAAGCCCTTGTCACAGTGCTCTGCTACTCTCTCTAGGAATTCACAACACAGCCAACTGGGATGTGCAGAAGACTTTCACCTCTTTTTGGGCTAATTTTCTGCTCTTTCATGTTTTTACCAAATGGAGGTTTTTTTCCCTCTTTTTCCCTGTTTGCCAATCCCTGTGAAGTAGAAAGGCATCTAATCCAGTAAGGATTCAATCAGCCCTTTCCAGCACTGTGCTTGGAAAGATACTTTTATTCTATCTGCCCTGACTTCTATGTCTATCCACCCTCACATAAAGAAATTCATATGTTTAACAGAGAAGATAAGGTATTAATTAGATGAGCAAAGTGGTCATATGACTACCTACTTAAATTTCTCATTTATTGTCCATTTTATTTTGATATTTCAGGCAAGTGTGTGTGTGTGTGTGTGTGTGCGTGTGTGAGAGAGAGAGAGAGAGAAAGAGAGAGAGAGGGAGAGTTTGAGATCTAAAATCTAAAATAACCAAAGCCAAGGCCAGTGATGATACTCTCATTAACATAGAAAGAGACTATATACTAATTTATTATTTTCTTTTATGTTCTCC